GGGTTGGATTCAGGAGATATATTCTAAATCAGGGTTGGATTCAGGAGATATATTCTAAATCAGGGTTGGATTCAGGAGATATATATCTAAATCAGGGTTGGATGCAGGAGATATATATCTAAATTAGGGTTGGATTCAGGAGATATATCTCTAAATCGGGGTTGGATTCAGGAGATATATTCTAAATCAGGGTTGGAATCAGGAGATATATTCTAAATCAGGGTTTGATTCATGAGATATATATCCAAATCAGGGTTGGATGCAGGAGATATATTCTAAATCAAGGTTGGATTCAGGAGATATATTCTAAATCAGGGTTGGAATCAGGAGATATATTCTAAATCAGGGTTTGATTCAGGAGATATATATCCAAATCAGGGTTGGATGCAGGAGATATATTCTAAATCAGGGTTGTGGATCGGTTCAGGGAGAAGGGTTGGTNAATTATAAAGAAATATCTCAATATAAAGGTTGAATTATAAAGAAATATCTCAATATAAAGGTTGAATTATAAAGAAATATCTCAATATAAAGGTTGAATTATAAAGAAATATCTCAATATAAAGGTTGAATTATAAAGAAATATCTCAATATAAAGGTTGAATTATAAAGAAATATCTCAATATAAAGGTTGAATTATAAAGAAATATCTCAATATAAAGGTTGAATTATAAAGAAATATCTCAATATAAAGGTTGAATTATAAAGAAATATCTCAAAGTGAAGGTTGGATTATGGAAAAATATCTCAATATAAAGGTTGAATTATGAAGAAATATCTCAATATAAAGGTTGAATTATAAAGAAATATCTCAAAGTGAAGGTTGGATTATGGAAAAATATCTCAAAGTGAAGGCTGGATTTGGAAGAAATATTTCAAAGTGAAGGTTGAATTATTAAGAAATATCTCAAAGTGAAGGTTGAATTATAAAGAAATATCTCAATGTAAAGGTTGAATTATGAAGAAATATCTCAAAGTGAAGGTTGAATTATGAAGAAATATCTCAAAGTGAAGGCTGGATTAGGAAGAAATATCTCAAAGTGATGGTTGAATTATGAAGAAATATCTCAAAGTGAAGTCTGGATTAGGAAGAAATATCTCAAAGTGAAGGTTGGATTAGGAAGAAATATCTCAAAGTGAAGGCTGGATTAGGAAGAAATATCTCAAAGTGAAGGTTGAATTAGGAAGAAATATCTCAAAGTGAAGGTTGGATTAGGAAGAAATATCTCAATATAAAGGTTGGGTTTTAAATAACTATCTTAATATAAGGTTGGGTTATGAAGAAATATCTCGATATAAAGGTGGGATTAGGAGGAAATATCTCAGCATAAAGGTTAGATTAATCGAAATATCTCAATATAAAGTTTAAATTTGGGATAAAGTTTTCAATATATAGGTTGGAATATAAAGATTGTAGAATTATCTCAACATTAATGTTTGAATTCAAGAAATATCTCAACAGAAATGTTGAATTAGGGAGAAATATCTCTGTATGTAGGTTGAATTGGAGAGAAATATCTCTGTATGTAGGTTGAATTGGAGAGAAATATCTTTGTATGTAGGTTGAATTGGAGAGAAATATCTGTGTATGTAGGTTGACTTGAAGAGAAATATCTCTGTATGTCGGTTGAATTTTAGAGAAATATATCTGTATGTAGGTTGAATTGGAGAGAAATATCTCTGTATGTAGATTGATTTGGAGAGAAATATCTCTGTATGTAGGTTGAACTTTAGAGAAATATCTCTGTATGTAGGTTGAATTAGAGATAAATAACTCTGTATGTAGGTTGAATTGGAGAGAAATATCTCTGTATGTAGGTTGAATTGGCGAGAAATATCTCTGTAACTAGGTTGAATTGGAGAGAAATATCTCTGTATGTAGGCTGAATTGGAGAGAAATATCTCTGTAACTAGGTTGAATTGGAGAGAAATATCTCTGTATGTAGGCTGAATTGGAGAGAAATATCTCTGTAACTAGGTTGAATTGGANTGAAAGGTGGCAGGATGGACCGGGGAGAATGAAAGGTGGCAGGATGGACCGGGGAGAATGAAAGGTGGCAGGATGGACCGGGGAGAATGAAAGGTGGCAGGATGGACCGGGGAGAATGAAAGATGGCAGGATGGAACTGGGAGAAAAATAAAAACATTTCTTTTAACTTCTCTATCCTTCACATCCATTAGTTTAACCACAGGGAGAGAAGGTTTTAGGAAACCGGAGCAAAAACAGGGAAATATTTATAAATAAAACTCTTCAGGCTTCAAGTATAATCAAAATATATCTTTTGATACAAATGTCAAGATGTAATTTTTAAAAAATTGTTGTTAACAAGCTTAATGCAATGAAAATAGAATGAAAAGAATATAAACATAAGGATAGGAAAATGATTTACACTCAAGGATTATGGTTGACCACCAGGAGAAAGCTTACTTCATACTTCTCCAGTACTTAGTTTAACCTAGACTATCTAAATCAAGGTTCCTTGTTATTTCTGGGAGAACATCAAGCTAGGACGATCATAGATTTTTAAATATTATTTTTTAATTTTCATTTAAACGTAATAATCAAATTACTAAAAAATCTGCCGAATCCATTATTTTCTGCTTTTATATCTGTATATTCACTATCTAGTATCTATTAAAGAGCGTCTAGTAATCAATAAAAATCAATGAAATCTTTCACAGTTCGTAAAATCCTGATATATGAGTCTCTCTCTGTACATCTGCTCCTTCTCCGTCCCGTCCCTGTTGAATCCTCTATTGAATCCGTCCTGCTAATGGTTTCTATTGTTAACTCAATACAAGAGTCCTGGATTTATCCGTCCTGATGCTATTCATACCGGAGCAGGTTCAGTAGGATAATTAATCTAAACTAGAGCAGTTAGAGTAATATCAGCTTATATGCTTTCAATATAGCCGATTCAATTAAATATTTCAGAAATTTAGGAAATCTGTAAACATTTACAACTTCAATTGAAATCTGCGAAACATTGTTTTGAAATCTTTTAATGATATAGTAATTTAAGTTCAGCTTTGAAACATGGTTAAATTTTTCAAATTGTTCGCCCTTCAGGAGCATTAAATCTTCAGACGTATTATTGTCAAAATATTTATAGTTGAAAACGCCAAAATCGAAAAAAAAGATTGATTTTTTGATCGAGTATTTCAAAACATGATTTTATAATGATATCAATATTTTTCCAATTAAAAAATTCATTGATATATTTTTGAATTAAATAATGTACGAGCAAAATAGATCACGAAGTTCCAAGTTTTACTATTTGTTGAACTTTAAAGTTATTACATTTGATTTTCAAAAGAAAAAAAAACAGTTTTTAAAAATTTGAAACCCGTGAATATCCATAGTTTCCTTTTCAAAGTTTGGTGTGTTCCCCATTAAAACAATACGTTTCCAGTTTATGAATTAAATTTTAAATTGTCCCATCCAACTATTCGAAATAAGTGTTATCCAATTCTCATAGATTGTTTTGAAAATCGTGAAAATAGTGTATTCGGTCTATTTCGAGATGTCGAGCACAACGTTAGGAATTCTCCTGCAATGTGCATGAAAGAGCGTATAGGCATGTAAAGTTAGGTTCAGCTAATTACAGGTTCGGAGAAGATGAGCTATTATTAGGTGTATTGTAAACCTAATAGGCGGAGTCAACCCACTCCATCTTAGTGACGGGTTCTCTGATAATATACTACATACAGGACCCGACATACACATCTCTAGGTTCAGTTTACATGCATACATATCTCAAGATTAAGTTTACTCCGTATACTACATACAGGACCCGACATACACATCTCCAGGTTCAGTTTACTCCGTATACTACATACAGGACCCAACATACACATCTCCAGGTTCAGTTTATTACGTACACTACATACAGGACCCAACATACACATCTCCAGGTTCAGTTTACTCCGTATACTACATACAGGACCCAACATGCACATCTCCAGGTTCAGTTTACTCCGTATACTACATACAGGACCCGACATACATATCTCTAGGTTCAGTTTACATGCATACATATCTCAAGATTAAGTTTACTCCGTATACTACATACAGGACCGAACATACACATCTCCAGGTTCAGTTTACTCCGTATACTACATACAGGACCCGACATACATATGCCCAGGTCCAGTAAACTCCGTATACTACATACAGGACCCGACATACACATCTCCATGTTCAGTTTACTCCGTATACTACATACAGGACCCTACATACACATCTCAGGTCCAATTTACTCCGTATACGTCTTTGAGCTTCAGTTTCGTTAAACTAACCATCTTAAACTAAAATTAACTTTGTATGTGTCTATTTAAACTTTTATGTACTAACTAATTTACTCCGTCCTGAAATCTAATAGTTAGGGTTGCTCTTCTATCCTTAAGGACTGTTTACTAATTTAATCAGTTTTAAACTTGGAGATTAATATTAACTTCTAATCAAAAATAAAACTATGTTTACTCTGTAAATTTCTTGGAATTCTTCAATTATTGGTTTATATCATGTTTAATTCAGGGGATCGAAATGGCATCATTAATCACTAGGTGAAAATTTTGATCAGCTCCCTGATCCTCCCCCTACAACCCTCCATCCCTTCCTCCATCCCCGCCGGGTTGAGTTTGAGCGGAGAGTGTGTGTAAGATTAGGGAGAAGCGGGGGGTATGTGTGTAGTAACTAGAAGAGTAGGTCTCCAGTTATATACAGACCGTGGAGCTGGGTTTAGGATACACTGGATACAACTCCGAACCCGGCACTTCAGTGATTCTTTGCATCTAGAGCTCGTGAAATAAATTTATAATTAATTTAGTGACATAGTTCTACAGAATGATGTTTGTGATAAATCCGCTAAGAATTAAGATTTGAAGAATGGAAAACTACTCCACCTGGTATTTATCCCAATAAGGTAATACAGGGGTATGAAGCCGTACAAAGATCTGATTTGGTCAAAATATTAAATATATATCGACTTCATAAATCACATGTATTCTCCTCAACCCTCCCCTTTTATATATTTCTACAAAGATGAATTGCAGGGCAAAAAAGTGTCACGGAAAGAAAACAGGTGTGTTTTTGAAATGTGCAAATAGATGAAAAATTGATTTTATCAATATATGACAGTTTTAATTTGAATAACCGTTACATAAATATATGTTTAAATGGACTGTATGCGTAATTTTTATCTGACCCTTACCATACCTTTGTATATGGGCAAGAGAATGAATGAGACATTTTTTTTCTACCATAAAATTTTTTAATTGTGGTTTCTCTAAAATTTTTTTTTGCGAATTAGTCCTGCAGACAAAAAGGAAAATTGTGAAAATATTATATTTATATTTACACTTACACTCAAAACAACGATATCTTTCTCATTGTTACTCAGATAAAGGTTGAAAGGGCAGAGTTGTGAATGGGAAATGCCGCTTTATAATTTGAGGGTTACTTGAAAATACGTACAGAGTCCTTTTATTCCTATGTATATTCCTATGTATATTCCTATGTATATTCAATAAAAGTGCTAACCATACCTCTGCTCTCGTGAATTCAATTTCTAAAATAAACACGATAGTAAAATAAAGCGAGACAGCTGGCCAAATATTCTTTTTTTGGGGACACTAGTATTCCAGTATTATACACCCTATAGGAGAAATATTTTCTTTTTTTATAAAACCTGCAAATATTAACTTAAAACGTATTAATAATCAGAATTGACATTTTTAAATAGTCTGAGTTAAAGCCAGTAAATAGCTTGGGATAAAGCTAGTACATAGAATGAATTTAAGCTAGTAAATAGCTTGTTTTTAAGCGAGATAATACTTTGAGTTAACGATAGTAAATAGCTTGAACTAAAGTCAATAAATACATCAAGTTGAAGCTTGTAAATAACATGAGTTAAAGGTATTAAATAGCTTGAATTATTGCTAGTAAATAACTGGCGTTAAAGCTTGTAAACAACTAGAGTTAAAGCTGGTAAAAAGCTTGAATTGAAGCTATTAAATAGATTGAGTTGAAGCTAGTAAATAGCTTGAGTTAAAGCTAGTAAATAACTAGAGTTAAAACCGGTAAACATCTTGAGTTAGACCCAGTAAATATCTTGAGTTAAAGCTAGTAAATAGCTTGAATTAAAGCTAGTAAATAGCATAAAAACATGTCTATTAAACCTAATCTAGCGTGGAATACCTATTGTAGAAGTAAACACTAAAAGAAAACTGGATTACTACAGTGCTAGTACTGTTAAAGTTTAAGTGGGGGAAGCATTTTCTATTTCAATTATTTATTCTATACACTAATAGATTTTTTTATGTTTTATTGGAGTAATTTTCTATTATGCATTATCATCGGACACAACAGAAAATATATTGTATTGTAAACATATATTTTATAGAAACTAAAATGTTTTATATTCGCATAAAATTCAAACATTTCGTATGTTTTAACTCTGTTTTAAACATTTGTAAAATGACAAATGTTTTTGGTAAAATTCCAAACATATTTTTTAATTTGAAAACCGACCTTAGAAGATCTTATACTTCGTATATTTAATAATGGTCTTTATTAGTTGTATGCTTTTATACGTTTCAATAAACAGTTTACAACTTCAGTATTATAGGTCTATATAACTCTAGGTTTATAGGATTAATTAATCAAGGTTTTAATTAAAGGGACTGTAGACGTAATTTCAAGCCACCCTACTTTTATAGAATTGTATGTCCGATTTACAACGGCACCCTCTTAAACATTTTTCTAATCAAGGATGAATGATACATCATTGTTTTTCTTGCTAAAGGTTGTTAATTTTCAACTGTGTTTTCTTTATGATTTATACTGCAGATGAGATGAATGAAGTTGTCAGCTGTCAACACAAATCTCTTCCTGATTGTTACTCATATTAAAGAGTAACTTTGTGTGAACCAATATACCTTAAAATATATTTCTCATAATTTATTTTTTACAGAAAAGTCCAGAATTATATTTTTCAATGCTGAATAAAAACGAATAGCAAAAAAGCTTACTTGTAACAATTGAAAGTTTATGTATTTTAAATATGATTCTAGGGAAGGATGTACATAACACCACGTGAAGGAGAATTGGGTTTGGATTGGGGATAGAGAAGCTTGGTTTGAATCTAGAAGTAGATCGAGAAGGCATTGGAGAAGGTTAGGTCGGAGTGAGGGATAGAGAAGGCATTGGACAAGGTTAGGTTAGATTAAGGGTAGAGAAGGCATTGTAGAAGGTTAGGTTGGATTTAAGGTAGAGCAGGGATGGGAGAAGGTAAGGTTGGGTTAAGGGTAAAGAAGGTATTGTAGAAGGTTAGGTTGGATTGAGGGTGGAGAAGGTATTGGAAAAGGTTAGGTTGGATTGAGGGTAGAGAAGGTATTGTAGAAGGTTAGGTTGGATTGAAGGTAGAGAAGGTATTGTAGAAGGTTAGGTTAAGTTGAGGGTAGAGAAGGTATTGTAAAAGGTTAGGTTGGGTTTAGGGTAGAGAAGGTATTGGAGAAGGTTAGGTCGGATTGAGGGTAGAGAAGGTATTGGAGAAGGTTAGGTCGGGGTGAATGTTAATGTATTGGATTGAGACGTTTAGAAGGTATTGAATAAGGTTGGGTTGGTTGAGAGGTAGAGAATGTATTAGATATGATTGGGTTGGATTGATTTGGATATTGGATAGGGTTGGATTGATTTGGATATTGGATAGGGTTGGGTTGAGTATTGGTAAGGGTTGGGTTGGGTTGAGTATTGGTAAAGGTTGGGTTGTGTTTAGTATTGGTAATGGCTGGGTTGGGTTGATTATTGGTAAGGGTTGGGTTGGGTTGAGTATTGGCAAGGGTTACGTTGTATTGTATTGGATCACATGCTGTGAAAGATATTGAACGTGAAAATCAAATATGATAATTAAATGGTATAAAATGATAGGACACTTTGTTATGCATAATCAAGGAATGGGGGTGGGATGGGGGGGGTTAATTTACAATTTATTCACGCTACCAAATTATCGTCTTGAATATTTGGAAAGGTTTTGAGGAATGAATAAAAAACCTATTGATTGATTTGATGTTATGAAATGTTATGAAATTGTTAAAAGACAAAAAAATATCAATAACGAATGAGACATTTTTTTTCTACCATAAAATTTTTTAATTGTGGTTTCTCTAAAATTTTTTTTTGCGAATTAGTCCCGCAGACAAAAAGGAAAATTGTGAAAATATTATTATATTTATATTTACCCTTCNTTTACATGTTTAAAGGTTTACATGCTTAAAGGTTTACATGCTTAAAGGTTTACATGTTTAAAGGTTTACATGTTTAAAGGTTTACATTTTTAAAGGTTTACATGTTTAAAGGTTTACATGCTTAAAGGTTTACATGCTTAAAAGTTTACATGTTTAAAGGTTTACATGTTTAAAGGTTTGATGTTTAAAGGTTTACATGCTTAAAGGTTTACATGTTTAAAGTTTACATGTTTAAAGGTTTACATGCTTAAAGGTTTACATGTTTAAAGGTTTACATGTTTAAAGGTTTACATGTTTACAGGGACTGGAGCCGTATTTTAAAGTGACCCTCCAGAGTGATGTGTTCATAAATAAAAATGACTTGTGCATTTATGCTTTTGGGATAACGAAGGACATTATCAAAATTCAACACTTTTAAGTCGATTTCTCCTTCATTGTAACTTACATAGAGATTTAAAAGGTGTCATTGTGAATCGGACTTTAAATTAACTTTAAATTAAGGTTCACTTGAAATTATGTCTACAGTCCCTTTAATAACATGAAATTATGCCTACAGTCCCTTTAATGGCATGAAATGTTCATAGGTTTATAGGTTTTAATTATTACATTTTACAATTATAAAATTTATTAGTTTATGACTTTAAATGTGTTAAAAGTTTACAGGTTTATAGGTTTTAAAATCTATATTTTTACCAGCCTCCAGATTTAATGGTTTCATTTTTATGTTTTAAGATTTTCTAGATTTCCCTTAAAGGTTTAAAAATCTATGAATAAAAGCTAATTAAACCTAGAAATAGCTAACTTGCAATCCACTAGTTAACCTAGCACTAGCTTGCTATGCAACCCACTAGTTAACCAGCAGTAGCTAGCTATGCAACCCACTAGTTAACCTAGCACTAGCTAGCTATGCAACCCACTAGTTAACCAGCAATAGCTAGCTATGCAATCCACTAGTTAAGCTAGCACTAGCTAGCTATGCAATTCACTAGTTAACCTAGCAATAGCTAGCTTGCAATCCACTAGTTAACCTAGCACTAGCTATCTATGCAACCCACTAGTTAACCTAGCACTGGCCAGCTATGCAATCCACTAGTTAACCTAGCACTAGCCAGCTATGCAACCCACTAGTTAACCTAGCACTAGCTAGCTATGTAATCCACTAGTTAACCTAGCACTAGCTAGCTATGGAACCCACTAGTTAACCTAGCACTAGCTAGCTATGCAGCCCAATAGTTACCAAAAAAAATTTAAATGATTGTCGTCTTTTACTTTTTTTTCTTAAAATGCCCCGTTGTATTTTGTATTTGTATCTGCAGATTATTTTCAAAACTGTGCTTTGAACATTTAGAGATACAATTAGGTAATAACAAAAGAATTAAGTCTTTGAAACAAACTCAATTTTTTAATCCTTCCATCTTTGCAATCTAAAGGTGTAAACCTTTTGATTTTTCAAACTTAGATTATTTGATCTTACAGAATTTATAGTTTGAAATACCTGAGATCTACGAGGTTGGGTTGCAATTCGAAAATCAGAGTTTGTGGCAAAGATTCCATTCCTTACTAACTCCTTGGTGACATTTTTTTATTAAAAAAAGAAAGACAACAAGCATACCACCTCTTTTTAGTTACAACTGTAATTTAAAGGTATATCATGAAAAGTTTTAGTGTAATATTACAG